TTTTTTTTTTAGGTTTTTTTCCTTTTGAGTTTGAACTGGAGGCTTCATTTCCACTTCTTCGAGATGAAGGTGGTATAGGCGGTATAGCAAGTGTTGGAATAGGTTGATGTTCTTTATTTATTTTTTTAKYTTTTGGTTTGRTGYGGTTTWGTAATTTTTTAAGAGATTGGCATCCTTTGTAGTTTGCAGTGTGGTTTCCACCGCAATTTGCATATTTTGCGGGTTTAATTACGTATGTGTCCATATTTTTGGCAATTATGATATTGAGGAGGATCGGACCGTCTTTTTGGATATTCGAATTTCACTATTGAGTTTAATATTTTTGTTATTTTAAATATTTCTCGATTATTGTTGTTGCGGGCCAGGCCTATATTAAATAGAGGAAGTGGGAACTAGTKCGTTTCGATGAGTATTTTTAACGGACGTAAGAATAATGCAGAGAGAGTTTTACCTCAACAATGGATTTTTAGGGACATYTGTCGGGAAACGACGAAATGTTTTTTTGTAAATGTTAAAAGTCTACTTTTATTACAAGCAATAAAATACAACAAAAATCTAAGTAGAACTATTTATTCTAATTTATGGTTGGGTATAAAACTTATGAACTATACACAATGCTACAGGGCTTAATCATTTAACATAAATCGTTATTTTCACTTACAATTTTGTCAGTCCTCAAACTGGTGCTCACAATAGAATGTCGAAAAGTTGTGAGGATCCTCTAAATGGCGCAACAAAAAACATAGARGTGCCTACAGGTCGTTAACATCTAGACAGGTTTTTGGTTAAATTCGCGTCGAATGAAGAAATATTTAAAAGAAGAATAATTATCGAAGAACGATAATCCATTTATAGGCATTTTAAATTGCATGACTGAATATTTCCTCCTTGAGTTAATTAATAATTTCTAATTTTAAAATGCATTCCTAGTTTTTATAATTTTTAATTCATTTTTTTTTTTCACCGCGTATAATGAAAGGTATTTCCTAACCTGCTACAATATATCAATTTAAGAAAATTTTACTAAAATGTTTATATGCAATATATATTATACCACAAAAAACAGAAATCAGACTTTTGGCTTCATATTAATTTATGAATAACTCAACTCGTGATGGATACTAAAACATTTTTTTTTTTTTTTAATGTATTAACATTTGTATACCTACTATGCATGCGTGGTACTAATGTAATTTATAAATTAATAAATCTTATTGTAATAAGATACAGCCGTTGGAAAATATTTATATTCGTGCCAATATTAAATGTGTAGTATTTATTTAAAATAGTTTACGTTTTGAAATTCTTAATACCGAATACGCCTCGTTTACAATGGATAATAAATATGCGAAATAGATATATTTATAGATCTTTGTAATATATTTTTTYCAGCATAAGTCTGAAGAAATATTTTATGTATAGAAGTAAGAACAAAGCTACCATTGATTGAAAAAAAGAAGGTAAAAACGTTAAGTCCCGTAACAATAATGGAATCTAAGTAAATATGTATAAACTTATCGAACTCTACTTGAAAGGTATCGCCGACACA